TAAGCAAGATTTTTAAATTCATATTCAAAATCTTCCTCCAATTTTACATCTGCTTTCCTCTTTTGAAGTGCAATTCTTTTCTGCAACAGAAAGAAAAAAAGTGTTTATACAGATTGCACATTTCTTGTTTCTCTGAAGTCTTGCACAGCAGAAGGAGAGTGCTCACAGGCTATGGGAACTCTGCATGACAGTGGGGATCTGATAGTGATATCCCAGACCACCAGTAATACTGATCTCTGTTCTCACCTACAGGAGTACAGAAGCATTATCTCCATACTACATCTTTGCTGAGCTTTGCATAACAGTGTTACCTGACTGATCACGACAGTCAGAAAACAAGCTTGCCAAAATTACAAGAAACAATTGCATTTACTTTTTCTTCCCCTAGCTGCCTTGGTCCTGCAGCTCTAACAAGTACCAGTAACAATAAGAAACTTGTTTTTGTCACCAAAGCAGGCATACACTGTGCTGAGGCCACTCAAGAAGTAGCCTGGTGACTCACGCTGGTGACTCAGGACCAGTTGTTCCCACAGAGTTAACTCTTGGTATAACACAAATCTCGCCTCTAACTCAAATACCGGGTGACGTTTTCAATTCACTTAAAAAGATATTTTTAAGCTTGACTTGACAAGCCACTCAGGAGCCCAGCTTTAGCTCAAGGCCTGTGGCCTTTGGGACTGGCTCTTCATGTCTTGCTGGCTGCATGCTTGCCTTGCAGCAGGACTGCCCTCACACTAGCTAAAGTAAACCCAAGACAACACAAGAATTCCACACTTGGGTTAACCTTCCTCTGAAGGCAAGTATGCAGAGGCATCACTTCTCCAATCCCATTCCTGAGACTGCTAAATTGCTGAGCTTTCATTTTCATCCAAAATCCCTCCACCCTCTTCAATCTCCTTGAAGACAGCCTTTCCAGCACTCGTGTTAACAGGTCCCCCCAAATTCCATGCTGCCTCTGAACACTCACAACTGACAAGCCTCTCTTGCAGCTCTTGGTGTACTGGGTGAAAAAGCCATCATGCTCTATCACTCCCATTACCACTTGTCATCCAACCGCTTACATAAGCCTGTGGCCTCTGAAATAAAAACATTTGCTTGCACTTGAGTAGAACTGGTTGTTTGGAAGAGAACCTGGGGAGAGAAATGATTGGAAAAACAGTCATAGAAGCAAACTTCCAGAATGTGGCATTTTCGTTTTCCTTTCAACTTTCCTATTTCCTATAGTCAACCACTGCTTCCCCACCAAACAAAAAAGTTTCAACCAGCAAAATCAACTTGTTTAACATTTCCACATATCTTCCAGCAGACAGGACTACCATAGCGCATTGTAATCACCTACAGTTTTGCTAAGTACACATCAAGACAACATAATTAACTGGAGAAAAATTCACCCTATGTTGTGCACATTCATTTAAATTTGCTACTAAATGCATAAATAGGTTTCTAACATGCCAATTATCTTTGTACTGTGGTACCCCACTTATTATCAAAAATAGCTTCACTTTAGACTGAAAAAGTCATGCTTTTCTTTTTGTATGTGGCTTTCTCAAATTGGTTTATTCTCATGTGGAGTAGAAGGGATATTTTAGCTAACCTTCAGTGTGATTTTTGGAAAAGACAGTTTGTGCACATGCACAGTACTGCCAGAAGCAGTTAGACCATGGGCATCAGTTTGGGCCCATGGAAGTATTTAGGCTGGTGAGCACACACACCTGGCAAAGTGCCAAAGTGACCCCACCTGAACAAGCCAGGCCAGGAAAGACCTACAATTTATTGCTACCACCCTAATTTTGATGTGACAAGGTTGATAGGCTCAACCATTCACATAAGCGTTCCTGATGTCAGAGACTGTAAAAGACAGTTTTGTGTGCCAAAAAATCAGGTGCCAAAAAGCATTTGGATGCACATGTGGACAAGGGAGGGGATAACATTTCCCTCTGGGACAGCTCTAGAGGATCTCTAGAACAGAGGTTGTGGCTCCATTTAAAATAATGCTTCCAACAGAGTGATTTATCCCATCACAAGAGTAATTTTGTGAAGGAAGTGCACACTTCTGCACTCATAAAAATTGTCCCAAGTTAAACCAACCTCTGGAACCCCACCTGCCATTTTGGCGGTGGTTCTCTTTCCCAGACCTGTATTTTGTGAGAAGTTAAATCTATAAAACACACTTCAGCACTCAGTTGCCATACAAAGTTCTTGAGCTGCAGAGAAAAATACACACTGTTGCTGCTTCCCCTCAGAAATGCAAGAGGAAAAAATATCCCAGTGTATACCTTACGCGACTGTAACAAGGGAGGCCTGAGTTTCACGACCTATTTATTTACCCTCTGGAAGTAGTCCTTGGACCAGAGGTCAGCATTCAGTGAATGTACCAATTATCAGGCTACAGAGCTGTGACCTTTTTCAGTGGCTCAGGAGTCCTGCTCCAAAAAGTCAAGAACTCTTTTAAAAGCGGTACTATCTTGAAAGGAGCATGAACTCGTCTGTGGGACGTCAAGTGCATCGTTGCCCTGACATCTTGCTCTGACAGGTTGCCCCTGCAGGGTGAAGGCCTCATGTAAAAGGCCATCAAAGGATGGTGGCAGGCCTGAAATTCCTCAGCCTTCCTCTCCAAAACTGAAGTTTGAAGGAACCGCTTTGCAACCACAGGAGTACAAAGCATCCTTCCAGCAGATGGGAAATGTCAGTTGGGCTTTTCTCTGGAAAGGAGAGTTTAGTACTCTGACCTTCCCACTTCCCATCCAAATGATTCATCCTTGAAATGCCACAGGGACAGGTACACCAGTGCCTTCTGTTAAGAAAGACAGCACCAGTGTAAACCTCAAGAGATCTGACTGGTGAGAATGTTCATCTCAAAATAGCAATTACCTCTTTAAGAAGGTGTGATCTGGAAAATATTTCTTTCCTCCATCATTTCCCCTTCCCTTCCTCACTGCTTCCTGCTCAGGATGCTGCCCATCCAGTATCCTTACCACACGAGTAGCACATGCCAGGGACTGGGCCTCTAAATTTGGGGGTTGTTGCACTTAGTGTCAGTAGAGACCGAAGGTTCAGAGATCAGTCCAAGTCACAGAGCTCAGTTCTAAAGTCTTTGAATGCTCAAAAGGTCAGTTTTGAGAAGAACACAAATCTGGGTCCATAGCTTCTTCCAACAATAGGATTAGGTTCTCCTTTCTGATCAATCTTTTTTTTTTTAACATCAAACTAGCAAGGTTTTGATAAAATTGTAGGGGATATTGCCATATTTTGTGACAGTTTGGGATGGCTTTTAAATCATCTACCAACTGTAAATGGAATGTAATAAAAGTCACTGTAATGCTTTATGAAGAAAGCGCGTGCTGTTATCTTGCAACAACCATATGTTCTGCTGTTTGTATGTATCTGTTATCCAACCCTTACATAAGCCGTTGATGAAATTATCATCACAGGACAAACACACTCCTAGCACGGTTGAGTTGATCAAAATAAAGTAATGAAGAAATGAAGCGTTTTGCTGAGGTGAGTCTGGCCACTCACCTTCCCAAAGCTGCAGCTGCAGAAGGAGACAGCGTGCAGACCTGCAGTCAGCTGCACATCAGCCATCACTTTGGGGATGTCAGGGAAGACAAAGATTTGGGGCTTGGGTTACATAGGAGAAGGTAAAATAAATACCTGCGCTTTCTCTGGTGTAGGGGAGAGGGAAGGCTTGGGGAAGGGGCTGAGGGAAAGGTGGAAAAGGGGATGCTTTATTAGCTTAGGGAACCCGTGAGATGTTACTTGTACATGCAGAGGCACTCGCACGCCTCAGACTGCAGCAGGGGCAGCTCAGGCTTGCTGCACCGTGGGACGCGCAGTTGGCAGCCAAGAGCATCCCCCATCCCCGCCTCTCCTCCATGCCGCCCGGGCACCTACCGCCAGCGCCTGCCCCGGGTACCAGCCCCTACCCGGGAAAACCAGCAGGCAGCGCCCGGGCCGCTTGTCACGGCGCGGCTGCATCCCGGTGCCGCTCCCGGTGCCGCGGGTGGGCCGGGCCGAGCCGCAGCCCTGGGTCCGGTGCGGCCGGTGCGGGGCTCCGAGAGCCATGTGCCGTGTACTACGGGCACAGACTCCACCTTCCTCGGCTCCCGCCCGCCCCCACGCATCCAGGAAGGGAAAAAGAGGGGGAGGAGGAGGAGGAGGAGGAGGGAAGGGGGTGAAAGGGAATTTAAAAAAAAAAAAAAAAAAAAAAGAGAGAGAGGTTGAAAGGAGGGAGCTCGCCGAGACCCACCCTTCTCCCTCCTCCTCCTCCTCCTCCTCCGGGCTGCTGGCCGGGCTTTTGTTTTCCTCCAGCGCCCCGTTTCCCACACGTGATTGCCGTGTTATTGCACAGGGCGCTCGGCGGTGCGGCTGCTGCACCTATAAATACGGAGCGGGCGGGCGGCGGGGGCCCGGGGCAGCGCGGCGCGGCCGGGCGGAGCGCACCCCCCGCCACCCCCATGCACCCCGCCGGCACCGCGGCGCCCCTGCCCCGCCGCCCGCCCGCCTGACGGGCCGGCAGCGAGAGGCAGCGCCCGGCCAGCGCCGAGGGGAGGGGGAGCCGGCCGACAATGGCGGCGGCCGCCACCGCCGCCAGCCCCGGCAGTCCCGCCGCCGGGCCCCTGCCGCCGGCAGAGCCCTGCCCCAGGAAAGCGCCGCAGCCGCCGCCGCAGCCGCCGCCGCCGGCGCGCAGCGACCCCCGGCGCAGGCAGGCCGCGCTCTCCTTCCTCACCAGCATCTCCCTCGACGGGCGGCCCCCGCCGCCGGGCAACGACGGCCCCGCCGCCCGACCCCGCCAGGCGCCGCTGCTTCCGCCGCCGCCGCGGCTGGGCAGCCCCCCGGCGGCGCCCGCAGAGCCCCCGGAGGAGGAGGAAGACGAGGAGGAGGAGGAGGACGCCTTCGCCGCCGTGCAGGTGCCGCCCGTCGCCTTCCTGGGAGCCGCGGCGGCGGGCAGCCGCGGCCGCCTCAACTCCTTCACGGCGGGGGTGCTGCCGGCACCCTTCGGCCGCACCAGCCCCCAGGGCATCGCCGGCAGCAGCGGAGAGCTAGGGCAGCCCGGCCCCGCCGCCGCCTTCGAGCTGCAGCGATCCCGGTAAGCCGCGCCGCGGGGATGAGGGATGCGCGGGTTGCGAAGGATGAGGGATGCGCGGGATGCGGGGATAAGGGATGCGCGGGATGCGGGGATAAGGGATGCGCGGGATGGCGATGGGCTCGCCGCTCAGGAAGGACGGGCACGGCCACCGGGGGAAGCCTTGGGGAAGGAGGCCCGATAGCCGCCGAGCGGGAGCCTCGCTCCGCGGAGCCGGCGGAGCAGCGGCAGCGGCGATGATCTGCGAGGGTGCAGGGGAGGGTCGGCGGAGGTGCCTGAGCCTCCCGGGTCGCACCAGCCGGTCAGTCAGTCGTTCCCGCCTGGGCGCAAGTGGCTGAAAGTTTCTCTCTTGCTCAGCAGTGCGGGCGTGAGGCTGCACAGCCACCGTGCCCCGCTGCAGCCCAGCCCAGCTGCGGAGCGGTTGTCACCGTGTTCTCATGGCTGGTGGCGGATTCAGCCCGCCGTGCTACCTGTCTTATAGGCAGCAGGCAGGGAACCAGCCCTGAGCCAAGTGCACTGAAGTCAGGTCTGTAGCCCACGCGGGGAAAGGAAATCTTTGCGTCGACATCCACGGATTACAGTGCGAGCGCATAGTTTAAGCAGCGTCTCGCTACCACCCCAAATAAGCTCTTTATCTACAAGCACTTCGTGTTTCTCTGGGTTGTTTATTGCCGCTGGGTACTCTTTTGCCTTTTAATTCCCAAAGGAATAACCTCACCTGCTTGAAAAGCTGAGATTTTTGGCTAAGAAGGTGCAATCATGTAAAAATGTGCAAATGCATGTGGATTAATTGCTCCACGACTACAAAATCACCTTCCTTCACTTCCTCAACAGCATACTCAGATATCAAAGACAGGGGAAGGGGGGAGAAGCAGAGAAGAAGCTGGAGGAAATGACTGTGCTCCCTAAGCCCACATCGGCTGCCACTCCCACATTCCCCATTTGCCACACTCCCTTCTTGTTCCTCCCTTGGACAAATAGGTAAACTTTGAGTCACATGTTATTGCAAGGGTTTATAAGGGTAATTGAGCATAGATCGCTGTAGAAAAGTCCCTTTCAAAACTAACCAGCTTGGAGAAATTGGAGGTATTCCAGGAGAAAGTTGTCTTAGCTGCATGCCCCACTGTTGGTTGGGTTTTGCCCCTACTATTTGGATTTTATTGGTGGCTTTTCAGGTGCTGTGCTAGGGAGTCCCACATTCCCAAGTAAAATGCCTGCTGGTGGGCTACCACCCTTCTTCTAGTCACGTGTCTCTCAAAACATTTTCTGCAGTGACAACCCTCTAGTTGTGCTGTGGATCAACAGCACAGCGATGTGACACACACACGCTCGTGCATTTTAGTCTCTGCCCTCAGCCTTGTGAGTGAAAAGTGACCCACAGACCATGATTTGGGGATTGATTTTCTACTCTTGAACTTTTTACTTCTTGGTGATACTGCACATGGCAGTACCCTCTTAGTGTTCAAGAGGCTGTATTCTGCTTGGCTTTCTAGTTAGTGAGTTTATTATTGATGCCGGATTCATGCAGGTTACCTTTCTAGATTCCCAAGGATCCTCTTTGGTTTTTCGTGCTTGCAAGCTTTGATCCTGTGCTCAGCTCTAGGAGCGATGCTCAGATCTTAGCCCTTCCTCTTCAGGTCATTATTTTCCCTTACCCCTGTTTGCCTCTCTGAATGTTTTCTTCCACAAGTGATACTTACTTTTTTTTTTTTTTTCTGTTACATGAGAACAAATTGGAGTTTAAGAGGGAAAGGTAATTACTGTTCATGTTTACAGCCTAGAAGTCCAACATCTTACAAGTTCAGCTGTACTGCTAACATGCAAACAGACTGAATGGATAGCCCAAGTCCATGGCAAGGGAAATCACCTAAGGAAACCTTGTCAGGATGCTCCTCCAGTCCTATAGCGTTGTTTGTGCTGTATTTTATTGTGATGTAGGATATAAGGAAAGTGCTTGTTTTCTCATGCTCTTTTGTTTTCTTGAAAGCTAGATTCAGTTGTGGCAGAGACCTTGCATTACTCCACTGACAAGTGTGAAGCTCTCTATTGTAGCACTTGCTTACAGCTAACACTGGTGCAGGAGAGCTCTGGCTAATGTCCCTCCCTTTACTGGCTGTTGTGGCCCTGCACATATGCAGCCCAGGGCAGACTTTTGCCTGCCTTCAATAGATTTCTTTCTGTTCTGGAAAAGGTATATATTTTTAAACATCAGGATGGACAGCTGCAGACCATGGAGGTTGTACGGAGTGTTAGCTCCTCATCATCTTAATGAAAAGATGTGGTAGAGGCTCCAGCTGCTCGGTTCACTCTTGGCTGCACAGAAGATAAATCACAGGCATGCACCAGGCTGGTGCAAGCCCAAGAACAGAGGGTTCGAGCAGACCTTCTGCTGCTCTCTTAATGGAGAGGAAGGAGCCAAATCCCCAGCACACTGCCAGCCCTTCTCAGGGTAACAAGGTGGAAGTCATAGCAACTGCCCAGAGACAGGTATCAGCTCACCTGAAGGATGATGAGGAGAGAAAAATCAGAAATTTTTTTTTTGGTAGTTTGTTTGTGCACCTGCTGCCTTTCCTCATACCCTTCTGCTCTCCTTGCAGTGAGCTTGAAATTGAATATGTGGTTTGACAGACTAGTCCTCTATGTTGAGGCAGATACGTTACAATGTGAAACCTTTTTCTGTTACAGTATCAGGCAAGACAGGCTGTCTTATGTTGTTATTTTCATTTAGTTTTCAGAAACTATTGTGAACATATAATCAGAGTTTCCTGGCTTTTTTGTTTGTGTTAGCAGTTTGTATAATTGCATACTAGTTTATATTTAACAAGGTTATCATTAATGTGGTTTGGGTTTGTGCTCTATGTGTATTCATAAGAAACAAACCATACAAAAAAAGAACATGGAGCTTCTAGCTGCTCAGAGGCTAGAGTGTAATTATATGTAAATGACAAAAAAAAGGCTTGTTCAGAAGTCAGCTTGTTGGTGCCAAAGGCTCCTGTCTCGTGCAGAAGGAGTTTGTTTCAGTTCGTGGTGAATGGGTGGATGAGGACATGAGGTTACTAGAAACTGGGGCCAGGTTCTGCCAGGGTTTCTTTCATGTCAAATTATCATTCTTCATAGCTTCGTCTTAAATTAACAAGGGACTCTGTGAAGCAAGGTTTCAGCAACACTGGTTTAAAATCATTTCACATTCTCTGATGTGATGGTCCCAGGTACTTGTTTCTGTGTATGCCTAGAATTTTGGTTGCCATAGTTTTTTTGGGGAAAGTACTGCTGTTTCTGTATGTGGAGTTTCCTTTTCCAGCAGGCCAGGTGGTTAGAAACAAGCACATGCTTTTTTTGAGTTGTTTGTTTTGGTTTTGTCATTTTGGTTTTGGGGTTTTTTTTTCCTGTTTTTCGAAGGAAGCAAATTGGTGATTGGATTTGGAGTCTAAACATTGCTTACAGTTGCATTGTCTGTGTCCATAACCCAGAGGTCGATGGATCGAAACCATCCTGGAAAAACCCATCTCACATCTGGTTGTGGTGTGGGAGGGGGGCTAGGACTAGGGAATTGGATTTTGGGGCTATCTCAAACCATGACACTGTGTTAGGTTTGAATGCAAATGGGCAGGAGAATTCCTTCTGGGAGCAGCAGTTGCTGGGAGGAAAGGAGAGAATATCTGCTGAGTAATTGCTGGGGAGAGGTCCACTCAAAAGGACACTGAAGTTATCAGGGTCAAGTAGATTTTTCTTCAGAATTTATTGACCTACAATAAATCTCATTTCCCGAGTAATTCTAAAATAGTTTTATGATTAATAAAGCTTGTGAAGATTCAATTTATTTCTACCTGTTGGAAAAGACAGAGCTGCATATGGCCTCAGTATTTATGTTCTGGAAATATGTAGTGAAGGGGGATGCTGGGATAGTTCACTTGCCTGGTTTTTGTAGAGCTTGCAAAGTTCCATGAGTTGTTAGTGCTGGAGGAAACCTTCAGGAGTTGAATCCTACCATTTAGGATTTGTGGTGGAGGCTTGAGAGGTCAAAACTCTGTTCTCCATGCCCTTGGGCAGGCAAGCAGTGCAGTCTCAGCCCACCACAGAAGATGCCTCCAAAATGAACACACCAGAGACAAAAGAAAAGTCTCTCAGAAACAAATGTCTTACAGGCAGAGTCCTGAAAGGGGAGCAGAACAAAGAGCTGGGGGCACCCTCTACACCATGGGGTCATCCCAGCATCAGGAGTTGGCTTGTGAGCTGCTGGAAGCACCGGATCTTTTGTGTGTGATGGACACTCTCCATTCACTGAACGTAAAGCCCTTCAGGCAGCCTGAATTTCAGAGTGATGTATACAAGCATAGCATGAAAACAGCGATTTAATGGTCCGAGAAGTGAATGGGAAGTGCACATGCTGAACTAAGTCTTTTCATAGGTGTGTGACCCTGTGTACCACTGATAGCTGCTGCCTCTAAAGCAGGGGATGCTTTTTTACTTCGGCTGTCGCTTCAGGAAGCTAAATGACCATCCTAGGCCAGCCTGAAGGGGGAATGTTCAACAACAGGGTTAAGACTCAGGTAATAAGGGCTGTTTCAGTAGTAGCACACAGTGTATAAGCTCTTCCATGAGCCCTGTAAGGGACACTGAGTACACCCACATCCTTTAGCATGAGCACACTGAGAGGCTGGATCTTCATGGTCACTTAGAGCTGTGCAGGAGCAGTCTCTGACTACTGGTGGGTTTTCTGAGCTGTGTGCATGCTGAGCATGGCCAGCCCCACATTGTATGGACTGGCATCCACCACTATTGGTCTCTGCCAGCCTTTTTGCTTGTTCAGGTCACAGGCTTGTGCCTCCCTCTGTTGCTTCCTTTGAAACTTGTGGAAATGGGGTCATCTTCTAAATATTAGTTGATGTTGACCGGTGGTTCAAGAGTCACTGGTGTATGATGTACAGCATAGACGCATCGGCCTTGTTCCCTTACTACCCAGAGCTTTTGAAAACAGATCCCACAGAAATTTGCTCTGGCAT